CAGAGGCGCAGTACGGTACTGACGATGAAGAGGCTATGTGTGAAGGAATGCTGATTCAAGTGATTGACCGTAGTGGGTGACTAGAAACGCAAAGCGAACCGCTGGAAGTAATACGGGCATCTCAGCGATGTTCGATTACAGGCGAATGGATGTTGCTCACCTCACAGATATCATCTAGGTCCAAGGGTATATCAGCTTTTACGACAGGAAACTGACTACATCAGCCCATATAATGCTCAGTGTCGAGCTCCCCCAAGAAATAACCGTTTACCCGTTTTTTTATCGTGTGTTTATCGTGTATAACCCCTCGTAAACTAAACAGAAAATTACACGGTTTTATTCGTTTAAAAGGTTTTTAAATGGAAACGGTTGGAGCCTTAGCCAATCACCGAGGGACAAATCTGGTGTCAATTTCCGAAGTTGACCGAGACCGAGACCGGAACTGAATATTCATCTTTGTGCGGAATTTATATCACACCAACCGGATTGGACAAATGTGACTCAAGTTGAACTGGGCAATCCAAAATTAATTCCTGAGCTGGGAACAATGAGGTGGTACCAAAACGAAGTTCCTTGTTGAAAGAGAAAATCGCGGCAATCACTCGGCCGGCGGCAGCTTCCAAAGTTATAGTTAACCGTGTCTTGGTGTGTGACGCCGCGAATCGCGGTATCGCTTCATTCGTTCCCAATCACAGTCGTTATATTTCTGACAACAAGACATCTATCTGTTGATCAAGGGTCAGTGAAGGACTGTGCAAAGCTGTGGGGCTACGCGTCCTGCAACCTTCCTTCATGCATCCCCCCCGCTCAGAAACCCCCCACAGTACGCACAGCTGGTGGTCGGATAGCAACCCAGTCGGCGCTACAATCTCCTTGCATGCAGCGGCCAAACCTCTTATGAGACTCATGTACCATGAGCAGGCCCGCGGCTTCATTAAGCGCAATCGTGGTACAGCGCTGTCCAAGCAGACAATGGATATTCACTTCAGTTATCTGGGGCAGGTGCTACAGTTTATGGTTTCGTCGAACCTCCTCACGATTCCTGCAGATACAAGTACATCTCAGCCACAACAAAGGTTTTGGTACTCAAAGAACTCGTTGCCCGCCCGGAGCTCAAGACCGACACACAACTCATTCAGTCAACTCTCAACCAGTGGCCTCTACTAATGGAACTCATGGCCTCGAAAGATGCTCAAATCCGCCGAGCCACTTGTGATCTGCTAGGCGTACTGGCATGCTCTTACACCCCAGATAATTGGAGGTTGGAGATGTGCACTCCATTTGTGGTTCTTCTTGAGTCCGTACCTCTCTCCTGTGATATGCCAGCATCCCAACGATAGAAAATAGTGACACGGACTCTGATGTCCAAGCCAGCGCACTTTGTGTGATAGCCACGATCAGTGCGAATCTCCATGGTGCATCGGCGGTTGTGGCTTCGGGAATTTGGGATTACTTCCCCAGGATTCTGGACCCACCCGATGAGCAGTGGGATTACTTCCCTAGGATTCTCTACCCATCCAATGATCCAATTCACACATTAGCCTGTGGCGTATTGGAGAACATCGCAAGCTACGAAGTCAGCACGCTGGGCAGGTTGAGTTTACGTCTTCTCATACTCTGGCATGCGGACTGATTATCTTGCTTAAGCCCGCGAGCACACCGCGCACTATCCACTCTCATCAGAATCACCTCTTGGTTTAATGGCGCGCAAGCTGTGGCAAAAACGGACATATTGGACCATGTTCCCGGGTTCTTGGACTCCCCGGACCCCAAGACCCGCCAATGGGCGTGTCAGCTCCTAGGGGCTATGTCATCCCACAGTACGATGTCGCCTGAACCACTCGGGGTGATGGTTTTCACGCGCCTCATCACCCTGCTGGGGTACTAGTTCATCTTCTACCCAAGTTGAAAGTTTACACTGATTCTTTGGAAGGGATGAACACCAAGAGATCCGCGGGGCTGTACTGCGGATACTTTCACAGTTTTCACCACAAGCAAAAGGGATGATGGTGTTTGAACCCTCGACAGTTTTAACACAATTTATGGAACATCGAAATTCGCCTGACCCTCAAGTCCGTGCATTCATATGTGCGGTACTGACAGACTTGGCTGTCCATCGGTCGCCAGTGCTAGTCGAGCTCAGCTTTGAGCCAATGAGACAGATGTCCACCCTGTTAAGGTATAGTCTGACTAGCTGATTCCTACTTTGAATAGGCTGATGACGGTCTCAGCGACGACAATACCGAAGTGCGTCAAACAGTGTTACATGCATTTTCCAAGTTCAGTGGCTGGGCCGCCGCTGCACAAGCCTTCGATGTGCAGATTGTTCAGGCTATTTTAAATACTTCAGTGGAGTTGGAAGGCACAAAGTCCGTGTCTTCCACGGACATCCAGAGGTGGTGGTGTAGAGCCATGGGTGATCTTGCCATCTACAACTTTGACTCCATCTATCCGGTGTTGTTGAAGATCTGCCTCCATATGTTGCCCTTCTTGAGGTATCAGTGACATGCCCACTGTCCGAGGAATGTTGTTCACTCTTGATCTTAGTGACACCGATATTGGTGTTGTTCATGGCGCTCTTCGGGCTATATGCAACATCAGTCGCTCAACCTGCGGCACGGCCATACTCGCGCAAATTGGTATCTGGGGCAACTTGGGGAAACTTCTGGGCAAATCTAACTCCCGTGTCTGGCAATCTACCTGTCGGATATTGGGTAACCTGGCCGCCCGTGGAGCTGTCTGTCCCTCCGCTTTTGCCTTGGTCCATGTGCGAGCTCAAGTCATCTGCCTCCTACTCACCGGAAAATCAGTTGATCCTGTCCCTGATACCTCTCAGTTCTGGTTAGAACTGCATCTAAAGGGCGATGTTGACAGAAAAATCCAGCGAGAGGCGACATATGCACTGTCAAAAATGACTTGCTGGTCAGAGGATACAATGCAAACTGTGGCAGACACCCAATTATTGGGCCAGATTCCATACCTTTTGGTGTCCTCTGACACTGAGGTCAGGCAATGGGTATGTGAGATTCTCGGACGCTTGTTGTCCGATGCCTTGCAGTCCCGCCGACTTCCCAACTTCGATATGGAATACTACCTACGTCATGCTGTAATTCTGTTAAGGTATGGGGTGTCTTCCTCAGAAAAGGTTGTCTCACTGTGTCTGCACCAGTGACCCCGCTGAAAAAGTGCGCAAAGTGGCCATAAATATCTTATCGCCAAGGGCCTCTTGGTTCGCTGGACCTACCATCGTTGAACATGTGGCCAAGTACTCCAACTCAAGTGACCGCCGAATTCGATGCCTCGTGTGTAAGATGCTGGAGGCAACCTCTCCAGCGTCTCTGTGCGAGCCGAAGCCCTACCTAGTGCTTCTACCCCTGCTACTGTAAGCTCCGGTTTTTTTCTCTCCACTCTTAGATGTATGACCTTTCCCACAGGGACCAAGATGTTGAGGTACATCGACCACTACCATCCATGCCAGTCAGGCTGAAGAAATACCAACAGGTTGGGGACCTGGCACTCCGTGCAGTCTCAACACTCAGTCGCTCATCGGACGGTGCTCAAGCCCTTGTTGACACCGACATTGTGAAACATTTGTCCAAACTGGTTGACATCGGGAGGAGTCGCCCGTTGGCCTGTGAGATTTTGGGCAACTTGGGATTCTACCAGGTTCTTCCGCATCTAGATGGGGCCCTCCGTACTCGTCTAACAGACCTCTTGAGGTGAAGCCTTCCCTGGCAAATTTTCACAGCATTACTGATGGTACATGAAGGGACAATGATTGTGATGTGCGGGAAAGTGCATTCATGGCACTGTTGTGGTGCAATCATTATGTACTCCCATAATTTGTGATGCCTCTGCACTACTCATGCGCAGATTGAACCCTTGAACCCAGGGACTAGTTGCGGCTCCCGCTCAGCACTCACCTTCCTGGTTGAAGCATACATATGCCTGTGAGGAAGATGTGGGTTCCCACCGGCAGCCTGGCGTTCTTTGACCAAATGTTTTCCCCTTCAATTCTGTACCTCTCTGGTCCATTTTGTCAGTAAAAGTGCCACCTTTCTGGTGGAAACACAATGGAATGTATGGATCAAGAGTTCACTCCTTCAGAGTGTTGGTTATTTCACTTACTCATCCTGCCTTCAGACAAGCTGCTGTGGATCATGGGTGATCATTCTCACCTAGTCGGCTTCCATGTAAACCAACTGCATCTTCGGAGGACGGATGTGTATTGTGGGTTCGATTGATATCGCGGTCTCGTGTGCAGCTTGAATGATTCGGGTTTTGAGATTTCAACCTTGGTTTAAACTTGGTTCAAACTTCAAACATTTGAATGTATGACCGTTGATGATGCTTTGGGGAAGGTTATTCAAACATGTTAACACTCACCTCTGCCCCAACCCCATTTTATAATGTGCTGTTTCGTATCGAGGAAGCTGTTGTGGATCGTGGTGGATCATTCTCACCTAATGGTGTCTACGCTTGATATCAGGAGAAGGTTTGGGTTCGATTCCCACCAGCAGCATCCAGCTCTATCAACCCTTTTTTTTTTTTTTTTTTTTTTTACCTCTCTCTCTCATATATAGGTGCCTATGGTTGTCTGCCATTCATTCGAATGATTTTCTTGCCTGGATTTTGAGATTTTCATAACTTTGAACCGTGGTTGAAACTTCAAGTGTGTAAGGCGGAGGGAGGACTTGAGAAGTGGTTAGTGTATAGTGCACCGTTGCATGTACAGACAAGCTGCTGTGGATCATGGTTGATCATCCTCATTCAATATTTCGGGTGTTCACCACTTTCAAGTGAGGAAGACGTGGGTTCGACTCCCGCCTGAAACCTACTCCAACCCCGTTGCTGTTTTTTTTTGGACTAGGTAGTTCCAGTTCCCACCCTCCTGGTCTGCTTCCTGGTTGAGACACAGTGAAGTCTGCTGACGAAAAAAGTAATCTCTCTGTTGGAATTGTGTTGTGTTACTTACCCTGCCCTTTTTCTTATGCAGAAAAGCTGCTGTGGATCATGGTGGATCATCCTCTTCTTGTTGCCTGGTTCAATATGTGCCATTTAATGAGGAAGATGTGGGTTCGACTCCCACCAGCAGCCTGGGTTCCTCTACTTGATCTTTTTCTTATCCTGGCCTGTTCTCTGGTCTTTAGGACAAGGCCCAGCTCCGGCTCACCTTCCGGCTTGAAACACAGTGGAATGTATGGATCAAAAGTTCACCCCTTCAGAGTGTTGGTTATTTCACTTACTCATCCTGCATTCGGACAAGCTGCTGTGGATCATGGTAGATCGTCCTCACCTAGTTCCTGTTCCGTGCAAACTTCGGAGGATGGATGTGTATTATGGGTTCGACTCCCACCGGCAGTGCTCAATCTTTCGATCAGTGCCTTTTTATTTAGTTGCTTATCTTTCCAACCCCCGATATGATATCCCGGTCTCATGCGCAGCTTCAATGATTTTGTTGCCCACATTTTGGAATTTCAACCATCTTCACCTCCATCGCCAGGTCCCAGCCCCATTGAATGCTGTTGTGGATCATGGCAGATCGTCTTTGCTTGCTATCCACTGCAGCTATTCTTGAAAGGAGATGTGGGTTCAACTCCCACCAGCGGCATATAGTGTCCCCTCCAAACTTTTTCTCATCTCGCACGGCCCCGCCGCTCTCATCTCTCCTTCTTTCTTTGATTTTTGAACCTGGGTTGAAAATTAAAACTGCATGTCAGTAGTAATAAAATAATGCTCTGGGACAGAAGGACAAGATTTTTTGTCCACACGTCTATTGTGTCCATGTTCATGCACTAACAAGCTGTTGTGGATCATGGTTGATCATCCCTGCTAAGTAGTAGTGTTGGGTCAAATAGCACTTCAGTCCAGGGACATGTGGGTTCGACTCCCACCAGGGGCCTGCTCCGGTCCATGTGGTTTTCTTTTTGTTGTTTGTTTGGACTAGGTAGTTCCAGTTCCCGCTCGGAGTCACCCTGGTTGAAACACAGTGGCGTGCTGAGCCTCCTGACGAAAAAAATAATCTCACTGTTGGAATGTGTCTCGTGTTGCTTTATGCTTATACTGTGCTTTTCCTTACCCAGAAAAGCTGCTGTGGATCTTGGTGGATCACCCTCATCTTGTAGCTGGCTGGCAGACGAGATACACTTGTGAGGAAGATGTGGGTTGGACTCCCACCGGCAGCTTCAGCCTGATCTCCTCTAGTTTTTTTCCTAATTCTTCACCTCTTCCTTTCTGGTCTTTTGGGACAAATCGCCTTCCGGCTTGAAACACAGCGGAATGTATGGATGAAAATTTCCCTCCTTCAGAGTGTTAGTTACTATGTTACTTATCCTGCATTTTCTCCTCAGACAAGCTGCTGTGAATGGATGTGTATTGTGGGTTCGACTCCCACCGGCAGCACTTCAACCTTTTCCTGCTGCACCTTCTTACTACCTAGCTGCTTACCTTCTGAGCCCGTGATGTGATATGTGCAACTTCAATGATTTCCTTCCTCGGGTTTCTGAAATCTCCAACCTTGGTTCAACTTCAAACTTACGACAATGCTTTGGGGAGAAGGTTATTCAAATGTGTTGGCACTCTTTACAGCTGATTTCAATAGTTTGTACCACTTTTACGAAACGCTGCTCCTCAATTTCGGTTGACCTCTGTTTGGTGCCGCTTGCAAGATGTCGTAAACCTCTGTGGCTACCGCCCCACCACGATGCTCAGATGCTGCCCAGTGCTACCCCAGCCGCCGCGTTCTCTCGTTAAACCATGGGTACCAACAAACGCATCTCGGGCGACACCAAAAAGCTCGTAGTTCCACAACCGCCACCGCAAGCCAAAGGATATCAGTGCCGACCTCAACATATGCATCAGCGCTGTCCGCAAGATCCTGCGGACCTATCGCCTCGATAACGAGGGTGTACATGCCCAGCCGACGTACCGAGTCATGGGCCGACCCCGAGCTCTCCAGGCAGAAGACGTCGATGTGCGTCACAAACTATATTCCCCTTGAGCCCCGCTGACGGTTCCTTGCAGTTTCTGGTGGGTCTAGTCGAAAGGACCCCCGACATTTACCTTGTGGAGATGTAAACGGAGCTGTCGGATGTCTGTGATGTTCATACATCCATACTCACCTTTTGGCGGGCCCTCAGGCGTCGAGGATTCACGAGGAAGCGGGTACGTGATTCACGGTTTTGGACGTCGTGATAATGTAACCTTGGGCTTCCAGGTCTCTTGCGTCGCCGCCCAACGAGATGAGGAAGCCAGAACCAACTTCGAAATCCACATGACAACGACCTACACCGCGGACCAGCTCGTTTTTGTGGACGAGGCTGCGTGCAACCGAAACACTGCAAAGCGGGGCTGGGCGTGGGCGCTTGTCGGCGAAGCAGCACGCAGACATGATGTCTACATCCGGGGCACCAAGTACGTTGCTCGTTCATCCTTTTACGGCGCATCTGAATAACCCAGGTATTCTGTTCTTCCTGCACTGTCCTTGAGCGGTGTCCTGCACCTCGACGTCATCGCCGGCTCCTACAACGCCGTCAAATTCAACAGTTTTGTCGATGGCCTTCTCGACAACATGAACCCGTTCCCCGGAGCGAACTCCGTCATCGTGATGGACAACGCAAGCATCCACAAGTCGCAAGCGCTGCGCGCGATGATTGAACAGCGGTATGTTGTACATCTCTACATTCTTTTTTATGCCGCGCTGATCATGGATACTTTACAGTGGAATGCGCCTCGAGTTCCTTCCTCCCTACTCACCTGACTACGACCCAATCGAAGAGGGGTTCTCTGCGATGAAGGCGTGGATACGCGCGCATCGAGATTACACGGATGGGGCGATGGCTGGCGGACCGGGCGCCGACTCGCCGTACGCGATGATTTGGCGAGTGGTGTACGAGTCAATGACCCCGGAGAAGGCATTGGGATGGTTCTCGCATTCGGGTTACATTTGAATCAACATGTATTGTACATATTTAACATTGTCTATCTTACATTACTTCTTCGCGTCGTACTTTAGTTAGTTTGTCGTTCGAGTGAGTTAGTTTAAGTCATGCCTTCTCCTTGCCTTTCCCCTTGACGTCGTACTCTCCTTCAACAGCAGCAATCCCATCCGCAACGAAGCGCTCCGCCAATTCGATCGGCATGTGGATCTGGTTGACGTAAAATTGGGCTTCTAGGACCGGTACGTGGTCAGCACGCGTAATTTCGAATTTATGAAGCTCGTCCACGAATACAATGGCGGGGAAGGGGAGGACGGGTGAATCTTCGAAGTCGCCGGAGTCGTCAATGGATTGGAGAAGATTGGTGACCGACGGGAAGTGAATGGAGCTGCCGATGTCGTCGCTGAAGGAGAGTACCTCCGAATGGAAGGTGGGGCGTTCGATATTTGCGGCGTTGAGAGTTGCGGTCGTGATGGCTCCCAGGGGAACGCGAGCGGGCGGCGATGAACAAAGGCGCGAGGTCGAGGGACTTCCCGACCCGGTGTTGACGGTGACATGAATGGTTGGTGCGCCTACATTGTTCGAAGGGGGTGTGGGAGTCTTGCGAGCCGTCCGGGCGCGCTTGCGCTGGGGCAGAAAGAACTCCTGGAAAACAATGTTCTCCGGGGGCCTCGTTGGTTTGGCGTTGCCGACGGACTAGATGTTGTTCAATGGCTCGGACCGGCCAAGAAAGGTGCGTTACTCACAATTTCCTTCGCCCAGAGCGACAGTTCGTACGGCGACACCGGCTTGTGGTTGCCATTGGGCTGGATATAACAGTGCCCCTTGTGCTTCGCGCAGGCAAGACTCGACTTCAAGTGCCGAAATTCTCCCGTGTATTCGAAGGTCTTCCTCCCATTCAAGGTGGATCCGTTGGGACTGGACGGTTCTCCTCCCTTGCGCTTCTTGCTCGTCTTGGTGAGCGCGGGGGTTTCTTCGGGTGGGTTCTAAAGGACTGTCAGTGAGGTAAGTAAATTCTAATAGAAAGGGGACGCACAAGGTTATGGATGATGCAGGTAACCTGCCGCGTCCGCGCCCGCGCCGTTAACCCTATCCCATGCTCCAGGCAGGCGTCCCAGTCCGCCGCAGTGGCGAGAGCACGAACAGGTGCGGCGGCCTTCTCCTTGTCCCATTTATAGCCAATCTGCGCCGACGCGGTCTCGAGACCCATTGTCTCGCAAAGTTCAACAAATGCCGTGTTGAAGGGAACTCCGCGACCGTATTTCTTCGACCGCGTAATTTGCGTAGCCCCAATCACATTTGTATTGGTCGGGACGTCGAACGCAAGCTGCGTTCCTACGTAAGTTGTGTCAGTTGGGACGGACAGAAGAAAAAGATACGACGACACCTGTAGCTGCTGCGACTGCGGGGGCAACGGTCTCCACGGCCTCGGGAGTATACGGAGGAGGAAGGCCTTGATTCTCGGGTAAGGGGGGAGGATTCTGAGGTGGCGGAACCAAAACGGTCCAGCCGTCCTGCTGGGCGGTGTGCTCGCGGTAATAATTGTTCTGCACAGTATTTTGGGGGGATTAGGGAAAGCAGGGGAGGAATATATAGTGGCGAGCATGGTTGGAGCGAGCGTTGGAGCAAGGTGGAGTCACACCACCGCGTGGGATGACGGCCTTGTGGAGCGGGTACAACAGCAAACAGAGGTCAACCAAAATCGAGGAGCAGCGTTTCGTAAAAGTGGTACAAACTATTGAAATCGGCTGTACCTCCGTCCCGACCCCATTTTATAACACGCTGCTTCATACCTGAATAAGCTGCTGTGGATCATGGTCGATCATCCTTACTCAATATGTCAGGTGTTCAAGTCCACTTCGTTGGTGAGGAAGATGCGGGTTCGACTCCCACCAGCGGCGTATAAGTATTGTTGCCATTGATTTTTTTGTCATCTCGCACCCTCTCATCTCTCTCTCGTTTCTTCCGTTTTTGAACCTTGTTTGAAATTTAAACCTGCATAAAACAATGCTCTGGAACAGAAGGGCAAGATCCCTTATTCACACATCTAGCGGGTTCATGTGCATGACGCCGCTGTGGATCATCCTTGTTAAGTGAGACATGCTGTTCGGTACAAGCTTCCGAGCGAGACGTGGGTTCGACTCCCACCAGCGGCATACA